CACCTCTTTGGAGGGAAGCTACACAACTCCTTGGCAGAGGTTCCAGCCACTTGGTCCCAGTCACCATCACACTGGCTTCCCCTCTGCATGCACTCTGTCTGTCCTCACAGCACCTGCTCTTCCTCCCTGTTTCAGAAGAGGTTATCACCATCATCTATTTACCATTATCCTAGAGTCTTGGCCTCCCTCATCTGCCCACCAAGTTCTGCCATTTTAGCTCCCCAATCTTTTCAAATCTCTCCAATTCTTACTCAGCCCTTTACTCAGCTCCACCCTGCACTAAAACAGTCTAATCTGACTTGCTGCCTGATAAAAAAATAAAGTACTGAAAAGTCCAAATCTGATCCCTGTTCTTCAGGGCTCACAACGCTTATCAGGCTATAGGAAAAAGTCCAGAAATGACAGAATGGCCCATGAGGCCTTTCAAGGGCTGCCTCTAGCAGCCTTACCCATCCCAAATCAGGGACACTGAGTCGCCTGCAAGCTCCCCCACGCCGGGCAGTGCTATGACTTGGCTACTTCAGTGGTCAGGAGCAGAGTGGGAAGGAGAAATCCCCCGGTGGCAGGCCTCGGAACACCCACTGTGCCACATACACAAGAGAGGGGGCCTGCATTCGGGACCTGCACTGGACCCTGGGAAATGGTTAAGGCCTGAGCTGCATGGGCAGCCTGAAAGTAATTGTGCTCCACACGAATGTTCCTCAGAAATCTCCCCACCTCACAGCAAAAGAGGGTCTTTCAAACTAGGCAGGACTAGCAAGGGCTGCTCTCTGCGGGCCACGCATGCATCTCCTCCAGCCAGCCCACTGCTTGCTCAAAAGACTGACTGGCTCCAGTGCCAGGGGAAAAGCACCACACTGCTTCCAAAACACATGCTCCTGCTCTCCACCGCCACCCTGGCATCTGACCCTCCTAAGAGTCCAGCAGCCAACAATTCTCCAGCCTGAGTTGTGGAGCTGAGTGACAGCCAGCTCCATAGTGAAGCTGAGGACGTGGAGCCCTTTCTCCACAGGCAGTGGCGACTTGTGCTCACTGAGAAAGAAGCTTACTAGAGATTGCCATGCCTCTGCCACTCACAGGGTCACCAAGTGCCTTCTGGACCACACAATGCTGCTTCAGACCCAGGGAGTTTGCAGAGAACTCGCTCCTGCAAAGGCAGGGAAGCAAGAGGCTAATCACCAAGGAGTCTCAGTTCCTACCAAACCCCTTGCAGAGCTCTGCTGTGCTCTTGCCTGCTGGAGTGTCACCTCTTCTAAAGTCACCGCACACAAGTTTGGGAGCTGTGGGATAAAGGCTGACTCTCATGATAACATCCAATGACCAACACTCAACATTTTTTGCTTCCTGTCCTGTGTCTGGACCCTGGTGATGTGTAGGTTTTTGCCTCAGAAAACAGTGGTTCTGTGAGTGGCTGGCATGACAGTGGATGCCCAGGGTCTGCATGGAATGCAAAGGGACATCATCTGTGGTGTGTCCCCATCAGAGCACTCACCTGTGACTGTGCAGGATGGCTGGATTGTGAGATGGGCCATTCTATATGTGCATGTGTGTGCATGGGACCTGTACAAGTGCATACACTGAACAAATGGAGACTGCACATTAGCAAGCCCCGCTCAGGGCAGCTTCCTGGCTCACCCTAATTCCCCTTCCTTAAAAATCAGCCTTAGCACACACTGGGAACCCAAGCAGCTGAGTCTGGGTAAGCAACTCTCAATTCCCCAAGAAGCACCTTCTGGGAACAAGGACCATATCTCTACCCTCAGTGCCTGGCAGTGTCAGCAGAGAATACTGGCCAGCCAGGCAGTCAGACGTTCATAGCAACCGTCTAGAGAAAACCAACTTCTGGAGCCAAGCTTCTGGAAGGAGCCTGGCTCCAGTCCTGCCTCAGGCCAGGATTCTCAACTCTCCCTTAGGTTCCTCAAGACACTGACATTCTCCTAATAAATTCCTGTGCCACGTAAACCCATATTACTTTCAATCCAAATATTCTAGTGTGTGTGTGTGTGTGTGTGTGTGTGGTACTGGGGTTTGAACTCAGTTGCCTACATCTTGAGTCACTCCCCCAGCCCTTTTTTTTTTTAAAACTGTTTATATGTTTATTCATATATGTATATATTGTTTGGGCCATCTCTCCCCCAGTCTCCCACCCTCTCCTTCTCCTCCCCTACCCCCTTGCTTCCAGGCAGAATCTGTTCTGCCTTCTTGTTCTCCAATTTTGTTGAAGAGAAAACATAAGAGATAATAAGACAGACATACCATTTTTGCTAGTTTGAGACAAGGATAGCTATACCAAGAGATTCCTAGCATTGCTTCCATGCACTTGTGTATTGCAACCCATATTGGTTCATCTCTACCAGACCTCTTCACTACTTCCCGGTCCCCTTCCCATAGCGGCCTCTGCCAGTTTAAGATGACTGTATTTGCTCCTCTACTGTGGGCACATCAACCACTTTCAGGTTTTAGGTTTCCTTCCCTTTCCCTATTCCTCCTGTATGTGTTCTCCCCTTAGTGTGTGACCCATGTCCAATAATATTACTGTATTTATTTTAGGTCTATAATCTGCTTATGAGGGAGAATATATGATTTTTGGCCTTCTGAACCTGGCTAACTTTGCTTAAGAAGATGTCCTCCAGTTCCATTCATTTACTTGCAAATGACAAAACTTCATTCTCCTTTGTGGATGAGTAAAATTCCATTGTGTATAAATACCACATTTTCTTAATCCATTTGTCAGTAGTGGGGCATCTTGGCTGTTTCCCATAACTTGGCTATTGTGAATAGTGCTGCAATAAACATGGGCGTGCAGGTCCCTCTGGAGTAACCTGTGTTGCATTCCTTTGGATCTATCCCTAGAGTGGGGTTACTGGATCATATGGCAGGTCTATGTTTAGTTTTTAAGGAAGCCTCCATATTGTTTTCCAAAATGGTTGTACTAGCTTGCATTCCCACCAGCAGTGTGTGAGGGTTCCTTTTTCCCCACATCCTCGCCAACACCTACTGTTGTTGGTGTTTTTGATGATAGCTATTGTAACAGGGGTGAGGTGGAATCTTAGTGTGGTTTTGATTTGCATTTCCTTTATGGTCAGGGATGGTGAGCATTTTTTCATGAGTTTTTTTGGTATTTGGATTTCTTCCTTTGAAAAAAGTTTTGTTTAGTTCAGTTGCCCACTTCTTTATTGGTTCATTGGTTTTGGGGGAGTTTAGTTTTTTGAGCTCCCTGCATATTCTGGTTATCAGTCCTTTGTCTGATGTGTAGCTGGCAAATATTTTCTCCCACTCTGTGGGAGTCTCTTCAGTTTACAGACCATTTCTTTTGTTGTGCAGAAGCTTTTTAATTTTATGAAGTCCCATTTGTCCATCCTTTCTCTTAGTTGCTGAGTTGCTGGGGTTCTACTGAGGAAGTCCTTGCCTAAACCTATTACTTCCAGAGTATTCCCTGCTCTTTCCTGTACTAACTTCAGAGTTTTGGGTCTGATATTAAGGTCCTCGATACATTTTGAGTTGATACTAGTAGAGGGTGATAGATGTGGATCTAGTTTTAGTTTTCTGCAGGCAGACAAACCACTTTTCCCAGCAACATTTGTTGAAGAGGCTGTCTATTCTCCATTGTATGTTTTTTGGTGACTTTGTTAAAAATAAGGTGGGCATAGCCATGTGGAGTCATATCTGGGTCCTCTATTCTGTTCTACTGATCTTCGTATCTGTTTTTGTGTCAGTACTATGCTGTTTTTATTGCTATTGTTTTGTCATATAGTTTGAAGTCAACCTCAAACTATACCTCCAGCATTGCTCTTTTTGTTCAATATTGCCTTGGCTATTCACGGTCTCTCGTGTTTCCAAATGAACTTTAGGGTAGATTTTTCAATCTCTGTGATGAATGTCATTGGGATTTTGATGGGAATTCCAGCCCTTTTTTGTGATGGGTTTTTTCAAGATAGGGTCTCAAAAACTACTTGCCCCCAGCTGGCTTGGAATCATGATCCTCCTGATCTCTGTCTCCTGAGTTGCTAGGATTATAGATGTGAGCCACCGGCGCCTGGCCTCAACCCGAATATTCTTAATACTTACAGGGCTCTTCTACCACCCTAAAGGAAACTTACTCTCCTAAACCAGGCTTTGAGCCTCTTCACATGGCTGAGTGAGGCTGCTCAGAGGTGATCAGTCTGTTCCCTCAGTATCTCCAAGTCTATGGTCAGCCATGATCTCTCCTCAGCACCTTTCTAAGCATTCATAGGTGGGTTTGGAACCTTGGAGAATCATATATCAAAGCTATGATTTCTTTCCTGAGGAAAGAAACCACACAGCCCACTGTGTGGCATTTGAAGGTGGGTGGGGGCTCTAGATTGAGAACTATAAAGCCTCACTTTTTACTCTCTCTCTCTTTCTCTGAGGGCTCCAAACAGAGAGTTGCTGATGCTGATGGCTGTGGAAGTATTGCTTTCCAGCCACATATTCTTAATACCTACACATGGCTCTTGTACCACCTTTTAAAGGATGTAACAAGCTTATCACATAAGGATGCACTGTCCACTGCAGCGGGACCACAGCCTCTTCCTCTGGAGTCCTCACATAATAACTTTCCAATAACTGTCTCCTCACATGGGTCCTGAACGTCCAGTTGAGGCAATCTGGGCAAACAAGCGAGCCCTTCGTGTGCACCCTGGCCCTGTTGGGCACAGGAAGCAGTGACAGGCATCCAGAGAACAGGAAGGACTGGCCTCTCTGCTGCAACCTGAGGCCCAGAAGCAGCTCTTGTCCATTTACCTTTCTTAAACAAATGCTCCTTTTTCAAGGAACCTGGCCCTTCCTTCTTTCTTTCCTTCCTTCCTTCCTGCCTTCCTCCCTTCCTCCATCCCTCTCTGTTTTGACAGTACTGGGGTTTGAACTCCAGGTTTCCTGCTAGGCTCACCAAGCACCACTCCATTTTTTGGGGTCAACGCCTGGATGACAATAGCATGCAACACAGTGCCAGTATACTGCGGAAAGGACCACATACATACCTTTGTCAGCTGCTGCTCAGAGGAAAACCCCAAACCAAACACCGTGTTGGCTCTGCTGTCGGCCCACTGCCCAAACTTCTGCGATGTTTTGGTGAAAGTCATATTCGGTGTGATTGTGCTGTTTATAATCACCTGCAGGAGAACAGCAGAGTAAAATATAAATACTGAATCAGACACCACAGTCACTCCTTGCTTACACATAATTCCTCTGCCCGGTTCTGTTTGGTCTCAGGCCGTTCTTCCTGAACATCCCATGCTGAGTCAGAAACACAGCCACAATAAAGGGGAATTGCAACAGTCAATGGGAGAACATCTCTCTCAAGCTGTTTTCTGCCCCAAGGCTGCCATGATTCAGAGTGCCCTAAAGGCTCTCCGAGGCAGTCATTCTTGTAAGAACTGCACTACACACCTTGTTAAACCACCTGCAGCTCCAGTGTCCAGCTCAAGTGATTTAAAATCTCGACAAGCAATTGGGGCTTGCTGCTTCCCGACAGGAAGGAGAAGGCACACTCCAATTAGGACAATTTGTAGAGGGTTAATTTATAAAGAGACTAATTACAAAGGTATGAGCAGGGTACAAGAAAACTGTGAGGGATGGGAACAGGGACCTGTGGTAGCTGTTGCCACTCCTTGGCCTAACAGGAAGACGAGTTAGGGAGGCTACAGACCCTGGAAGAGGAGCAGGCTGACCTGAAAAGGCAGATGACCTTCTGTTGAGAATCATGGCCAGCACATGTGACCTCACAGGACGAGGATCCAGGGGAGCAAATACCTTCCACCTCTTTCCTTCTGATCCCCATTTGCCATTGACCAGCCCACCCAGAAGCCAGAGGACCTGGGAACCCACTGAGGTCATGTGAAGGCCGGCCTTTGAGGGACCAGGGCAGGGTGAAGAAGGGCAGAGAATGGATCTGGCTGATATCCAGTGCATGGTACATTCATTCAGCCAACAAATGTTCATTGAGCATCTACTAACCAAAAACACAACACTATTAAACACGGTTAGTAATCTGCCTACTATCACTGGACAAGAAGGGCCCTCATTTGTGTGTGGAAGACATAGATCTAGATCATGGGCTTGGGGGAATGCTTCTGAGAACTTGGAAGCTGGTGAGGTTCTGTCTTAGCCCTGGGCAGGGTTGACATGGTAAAGCAAGGCAGACACAGAGAAGGTATGTGGCAGGTAACTTGGTCAGAATGAATCACATGATCCCCCAAAGCCACCCCTGGTTATCTCCAAATGACCGAGACCCAGGGAGGGCAAAGAAATATCCTAGACCCGTGCAGAAACTTGAGTCATTTTTAAGTCTTGCTATATTGCCCTTGCTGTAGACCTACCCACCAAGGTCACACACCCACACACCCACACAGAGAGAGAGAGAGAGAGAGATCCCATTGAATAGCAGTGGACAGAGGCTGACCAGAGTATAAGACACAGCTCTTAAGCTTGCCCCAAACAAAGTCAGTCACACTGGAATAACAACAGTGACATTCTCTGGTGTTTCATTAGAACTTAACAGTTTCTAGGGTACTTTTTCATAATCTTTTATCTAATCCTTATTTTTATTTATATATTTATCTAGATCTCTATTTATTTATTTATTGGTGGTACTGGGGTTTGAACTCAGGGCCTCACACTGGCTAGGCAGGCACTTTACTACTTGAGCCACTCTGCCAGCCCTTTTTTGTATTGGATTTTTTTGAGATAGGGTCTCATGAACTATTTGCCTGGGCTGGCTTTGAACTGTGATCCTCCTGATCTCTGCCTCCCAAGTAGCTAGGATTACAGGTGTGAGTCACCAGTGCCTGGCTCTAACCCTCATTTTTAAAAACTGAGAAACAAAAAAGAGCTCAAGTGACTTGCTCAAGGTCATAAAACTAGCAAATAACTAAAGAAGGTATAATGAATATATTACTTGCAAAGCAACAACTGACTGCATAAGCAAAATCTGATTGTCCTGCTTGGGTGTTCATTCAGCTTCTTAAGCCTGTGAATGCAGCACTGGTTTTGGAAAATTCTCAACCACTCTTCTCAAGGATCTGCTTTGCTTCACTGACCCTCCTCAGCTGACTCTTTAGGACTAGACCTTTTGAGTGTGCTCAACACTTTTACACTCATCAATTACTTTCTACCTGTTCTTTATCTTCTTTGCTTCAGTCTGGGCATTTTTTTGTTGATCTGTTTTTCAGTTTACTAATCTTGGCTACTGATGGAGCCAGATATGCTATTAAACATATTCAGTGAATTCTTAACTACCCACTTGATAATTTAAACATAAATTCTACGTCTCTGGGAATAGTCTTCCCTTCATCTATTCTGTCCATGTCCTCATCTATTTCCTTGGATATATTAATCATATTTATTTGTACAACCCTGGTGCAAACTCTTACACTTCTGAATCATTTCTGTTACCTTGACTTTCCCCCTTTCGACTTAGGCATATGGTCTTGTCTTTTGTATGTCTAGTAATTTTTAATGTGTTGGAAAATGTGTATAAAAGAACTGTTAAGGCTCCACAGGATGTTAACATCTACCATAGACAGTTTTCTTCTTCTCTGCTAGGCAAGTAGGGTAGATAGGAAATCCCACTGAGTGGACTTCAGTTCTGGTAAGACTTGGTCTACCTTTACTTCATCGCTGTGTTCTGGGCCAGCCCTTTACGAATATCAACTGGGATACTGGCAGATTTTTATTTCCTCTACCCTGAAAGACTACAGAGATGCAAGAAGTTTTTAGCCAGCTGGTGTGCCAGTGGCTCACACCTGTAATCTTAGCTATGTGAGTAGCTACCTGAGAGGCAGAGATCAGGAGGATCTCTGTTCAAAACCAACCCCGGGCAAACAGTTTGCAAGACCCTATCTCAAAAATACCCAACACAAAACAGGGCTGGTGGAGTGGCTCAAGCAGCAGAGTGCCTGCCTAGAAAGCATGAGGGCCTGAGTTCAAACCTCAGTGCTGAAAAAAAAAAAAAAAGAAAGTTTTCCACTTAGTTCTGTACCTTTCAAATCTACCTATCTCCACAAGTTAGCAAATCTTGAAGGGAAATTCCCCTTTTGTCACTCAGCTCTGTGCTCACCAGAATATCTGCTGGTTTCTGCCTGCCAGCAGCAGCCTTTTCTGGCCAGGTCTGGATATTCAGCCTCTGGGTGCCTAGAATCAGTAAGCGCCATGTGAAAGGGTATGCAGGTGCCCAGTGCCAACTCTTCTTTTGGGACCCTCATTACATTTTTTTCAGCCCCCTGGCAAGGCTTTGTTTTCTACAAACTGTAAATCCGAGCATTTTTATCTGCTTCTCAGAAATGTGCAGCCTAACGCTACACAGACCTGGAATTCAGCAAATGTTCTGGAGAAGGATCAGTCATGAGCTTGAAGCCTCTCAATTTTGTCATGCCAGTCCTGGGTCACTGCTAAATGCTTTGCTGATTTTTCTTTCCCCCAGCAGTATCTCTCCACCAGAGCCAAGCCCCAGCCTTCAGCCTGTGCCCAGAATTGGCAAATGCTCCCAGGAGAGAGAGCTGCCAGTTTTATTTCTGAGTGAGTTTCATCTCTCTGAAATTTTAGTCTTTCTAAGTCCTCATCATTTCTATCAGATCTCTGATGACTTTAAATCATATTTATCTGTTTCTCCCAGTGGAGGGAACACTGGTCTTCTGGAATCTATATACCTTACTCAGAAGCAAAGTGCTGAATCTGTAGAAGTTCAGAGATGCAATTCACTGTGTGTCTCAAGCGACATTACTGTGTTTATGGGAAGCATACAACCTCTCATAACATCGCTGCTTATGTCAGTTACACATAACTGCTCAGACATGCTAATCTACCTTGCTGGGGTGACTTCACACTGCAACTCCCCAGGTCTTCTAACACTCCCAAGACTCACTCTAAGCAATGATTCCAGACCTCCCACCCCGTCTTTGCTCCTCTCTTCTAGAGCACATTGAAGGGGAAGTGTCAGGGACAGCAAAACTCTGAGGTATCACTCCAAAGACCATAACTTAGGCCCATCAAACTTACAAAACTTCTTTCTCTCCAGGTTCTCAAGAGAAAGGTCCCTTCACTCTCCCAGAACCAAGCCTCCCTCAGTCCTCTGGATCCCATATCCTTGTCCCCAACCCCCATGAGGTATGTCCCACACAACTATCCACACAACTACCACAGGCCCAGGATAGACAGGAGGTCTGTTGACTCTTGGGACACAGAATGCTGGTTTTCAGGGCTTATTAGAATGCTGAAGAGGGAGCTACAGTCCTCATTCCCCACTGACAGGCCTGCTCTGCTGGAGAACTGCTCTGATCCTGGTTCAGCACAGCTACTCTCCATGCACTTTTGAACTATGATGCTTTCGATGTAGGATGGGTTTATTGGGTTTTAACCGTATCCTAAGTCGAGGACATCTCTTCTAGTAAAAGATGTGTTTTTTCAACTGAGTGGGAGGGACTGTGAGGGTTCACATTCTTGTCAGACATTGAACAGTACACAGAAATGTAACAGTTGTTGGGAAGGCTAACTTTCAGGGTGAGCAGGGGCTTGTGAAAAGAGCTGGCTATGCCCTTCCTGCACATGAAGACACTGGAAAATCATGGTGGGGACAGAGGACCTGCAGGTTCCAGTCTTAGAGGAGAGGTGGGGATAATGCAGACTGTGAGGTGAGTAAGAAAGGGGTCACAGGAATGGGGAATGCCATGCAGTGGGAGGGAACAGAGGGAGAAGAGCAGAGCCTGGGCAGGAGGATGACTTTTGGCTGTAGTTGAGAAGGAGCAGGGAAAGATACGAAGGGACTTGGGGAAGAACGAGGTCCCCTGGGTGCCAAGGATGAAGGGCAAAGTGACGACATGGGGACACGCTCATGGAGCAGGAGATTTGGCAGGATGAGAACCATGCCTCTTAGGAAGCGGGGAAGACAAGTCTGGGGGGAAATGGAAGCCTGGGAGGGAGAGGGGTGACTTTGTAGGGCATCCTGGGCACAAACTTTAACAAGGTCTCCCAGTTCCTGTGTTCACATGCTTTGCTCATGCGTTATCTCTGAAACTTGCATGGGTGAAAGATGCCACCCTGGTAAAGAACCTAGACCTGCAGATCACTGGAACAAGTTTTCATGAAATATACAGAACATCTGTAACAAAGAGCTGCT